GATTTTTACATGAGATTATTCTGTTGCAAATTCGATTTTCAACAAATAATAATCAATGGAAAAATCCTTAAAACTCAATTGTTTACGAGATATTTGCAAAAACATTTCAGTGGAGTGATGCAGGAGAGCGAGAATGAAGTATCATCCGTTCTCTCTCTCGCTCACGGGTGAGTGGAGAACCGTATCCCGCTGCCTGGAAGGGGCATCAATCACACATAAGCGCGGCGCCACACGGACGTACTGCCGCTTAACGGTGCAGCGTCATTGGCTTCCTTATTTACCACAATATCTCCGACGGGGTGCTTCTGATCCAAAAGTGGAAAAGGACTTTTCGGTTCAGAATCACTCCTTGTACATGCTGGTTCCGGATCAGCATGTACTCCTGGGACGCCCTGTATAAATACACCGTACATCTAATATATTGAACCATTTGATTATAAGAAATCGGGCACTAGGCTGTGGTTTTGATATGGAAAATTACTCATGACTGAAACTCCAGACGAAGATCCACAAAGCCAGACTTAAAGGACTCGTTCTGCTTGGAGCAATCAATGATAATGAATGATGCTGTTGTCAAGAAATATACCCTCCTGAAGAGTGATTCAGGCTATTCACGGTTATGGGATGTTTTGAAGTTGTATGTATAGAACATATCGTAGTGATGAGCTTATGTTGAATGCTGAAATCCTGATTTCTATAGTGGTAACTGTGTGAAGGTAAGACTAACTTGATCTTTCAAATGTTTCCAACATCAAACGCTCTTATATCTTTCCCAGACGAGTTTCGTCAGCTATATGGAAGCCTAGCATGGCGAGTACCATTGCACGTCCGTTGAATTTTGCTCTGAATCAGGCCGTAAGGAGCAACAATCCCACTGAAAAATGTATCCATATCATTGAACCTATGATGAAAATATAAAAAAAGAGTAGCAAATGTTAAATACCAGAGTTTATAGTGGCTTTAAGGGCAATGTTCTAAAAAATGATTATTTTTATCAGATTCGTCCAAATGAATTGGTGAATAGACGGGGTCTTAATAACTGATCAAAAATCGAGTCAAATTTCCACTATTAGTGCGACCTTAATGAACAGCGTACGATGATAAATGAGAAAGCTGAACACATTTCGGAATGTGACCTTTCTACATGTTACCGAATATTATCATATTATTACAGGGGAATTGTACGTTTTGCATACGTGGATAAGTATTGCTATTCTAAGTTAATTATGGGTGCTATGACAATTGTCGATTGATTTAACAGTACTGATGATGACCGGATATAAGTCTATCATCCCAACGTTTTTCTTCTACTAGCAGTATCCACTCTCTTCCTGCGTGCCTGACTTGCAATGTCGGCCTGATACTACACTTTCTGTATTCAAAATATTTTTCATTACTTTGATTCGTTTTATTCATTTGTAAAGATGATGAATGGTATATTGTGCTTCCAGGGAGTACAGTATTTTCTGAAGAGATGTGAGTTTATAATCACATCAGTCAGAAAATACTTTAATTCCGTGAGGCACACCATATTTTATTCTCGTAGGGTCTGGAAAGTACGATTCTAACCTCGCTTCGCTAGTCCCTAAGGGAATAAAATTTATTTCGTATCAAAATAATTTGAAAAGATGACTTTCGAATATTTGCTTTCGACCCGTTTCATCAGGCTGGAGATTGAACATGATAGATAGATAAAGAATGACCGAATAATTATAAAAATGAGACCGGCAAACAAAATGAACCGCTGCCGGCAACTCAGTCATATCAACCGCGGAGGCGGCTGGGTGCCGAAATAATGCAGCGGTCGACAATGAAGAAAAACTCCGTCGCAGACATCGAGAGAGTAAACTAAAACTTTCAAGTTTCGAGAAAATGATAAAATTTGACACAAACAAATTCGTACCGTAGCGTAGTCTTAAAACTTCTGTTATAGACCCGAGCGGTTGGGGTCGATGATAGGGATAGATCACGCGTAGATAATTAGAAATGAATATCTCTCAGGGAGATTCAACTTTTTTAACGTTTAAACGATTTATTAAATAAATAAAGTCTTTGACTAATGCCATAAATATCAGGCAATATGAGTTACAAGAAAGTGACTTAACGAATCGTCGGATTACTAATTGTCTGTGTTTGACAACCTGACTAACTGACTCAGTGGCAACGAATTCACGAGCTTATATTTCATCGTGGATTCGATTGCAACAAGTGTTCTGTCTTTGTTTTACACCTGGAGAGACATCGGGTGACGTGCCAGGTGTGCGTAAAGGCCATCGCCGTTGATGAGGTGAAGTGCTGACACTCCACCCCAGTGATCTACATTATGACGAATATATGTGGACTTACTCCACAAATATTCGGGATAGTTTATATTTCAACATTGTCTGATTCGACATTACATGTTTTTGATAATATGTGCCACTTCGCGTGTCCTCATATTCTGAGAAATTACCTAATACTATTTCTTAATTAATTGTATTTCTGGGGCATAACACTTCTCCCGACGAGAAATCCGATTTGATGGTGCAACTGATCCAAGCGACCACCCTTCTCTTAATCGTTAATGACTCTGTCATTATTTCGCTATGACAACTAATAGGCTTTGATTAGACGTTGAGGTCGTACCCAATCAGAGCAAATCTAAACGACAGAAATCAAATATATTTCACACCAATAATTTGCAATAATACAATATAATCGGAAATAAAATATCAATCATACCACGAATTTCCAATAATTAGATGTCTGATTTATTTCTCGGCCTCAAATTAAAATTTATCATGACAAACATTTAAATTCACAAAGTTCACCGCAATAAAGACCGTTTTAAAGAACCATGTGTGAGCTATCAGATGCCGGACGTACCATTTTGGGTTGATTACGACAACCTCGAAAAACATACAAAATTAAAATGTCTGTCGACAAGAGACATGCGAAGCACTGCACTCTTTCACCTTCTAACTTGGGAAAACCGCTACAGAAACACATGGCATGATATGTTCAGCTTTGAAAGAGAGTGTTGCATCTTGCAGCTCAGGTAGAAAGTGGCTTAAAGATTTTCGTAATGGAAATTCGAATCTCAAGATTATAGGAGGTCCTGGTCAATTAAAACAAGTCGATGATGCGAAGATGAACAGCCTACTAAATGAAAATCGCTGTGAAATGCAGGAGTGACTTGCTGATACTCTCCGAGTAATTTAATCAGCTATTCGGCGGCCTCAAAAAATAATTGAGAGAATACAGAAGGAAGGTCGTTTGGTAGCTCATTATTGTATGTCAGAAAATGAAAATCGACGATGTGAAATTGCGACAGGCCTACTCACCAGATTCAAATAGAAATACTTTTAGTATCACATCGTGACTTTGGCGGAAAATTGGATCGGGGGAACCATTAACAAGCACTACAAAATCCAACATTCACGGGAAAAAGTTGTTATTGTGTATTTAGTGGGATTCCAAAAGCGTAATTTGCGATAGGATACTCCAACAAGGGGAAACCATCACTGCTAAGCGTTATCAAGACCAACCAGTAAAATTCTGGAATGGTAGGTATGGCTGAGAAATTTTTCCACGTGGAGTATATCCTCGAGACCTTGCGCTTTATGACTATCACTTTGTCGGGCGGTACAACATTGCCTGGTGAATAGACGGTTTCCATCTCCTGAGGAAATTTAGCAGAGCACTGATGAATTCATCCATTCAAACCCACCTTCTTATTTGCCAAGCAAGAATAATAATAATGATAATGTCTAATAGTTGGAAGAAATGTGTACAATGTGACTGCGACTATTTTCCAGATGAGATCGGTATTCTTTGCGCTTCAATCTTCGACAGCTCTCGATATGGACTGCGCAATTATATTAATTCGAGTATAATTAAATCTTCTGTATATCTCCTTCCGTAACACGTGAGGCCATGTCACGGGTAATGGGTAACTCTTCCAAGTCAAGTGTATCGTTCTGAGCTTTTTTGGCAGTTTTAACCACCTTGTGGACAAACTGTTCGAAGATAGAATCTTTTGATATCCTTTCTTTTCATTTTGAGCATGTTGTCACCACAAAACTATTCCACCAGGAAGCGCTGAAATATATGGTCCGTAAGTCAAGGCGTCCGAAACGATAAAAAACGCTCTGTGTGATTCTCCTAGGACTCGTAAGCAGCCCTTGCAAACTTCCTCAGAATGCAAACGAAATCCTCAGCTGTTCTTGCACAGGATTCAAAGGTGCCGAAAGCATCTTGTTCTTTTAAAATGTTTCAATAGGTACTCCATGACATTACTCAACCGGGAAGTGATCCCCAAAAAATGGCGTCACACCGTCGACGTGTGGTAATTGGGGTAATTATCCTGATGAGGTAGTCATACCTGAATCAAAGTCATGCACAACACTTGAGGCGACAAAAAAATGTGACTGGACTACGGTTGAATAATAAGGATCCCAGAAGTTCCTCGGTTTCACAACTCTCCCCGAAATCGTTTTCTCATAATGAACCGTAGTGGTGTTCAATTTATTTTAAATGAAGTACAGAATTAATATTATTACAATGAAATTACTTTGTCTTTCCCTCTCTTGATTTTCACAATAGAAAAATATCAAATATCAGAAATAAAAAATAAAAAATAAAAAGTAAAACATAAAAAATAGAAATAAAATAGAAAGTCGTGTAAATGATCACTGAAGAAATAACATGGCAAAATACCACTTAACAACAGCTATACTGACTTTTGCTACACATCCGTAAAGACGGTTCATACTTTGTTTCCTGAGGAGTGACAGAAAAAGGAGTTTTGAAATCTGCCCATGATATTCACTTCTTTTAAACCATCAGAAAACAAACACAAACTTACCGTCGCAGTCTGTTTTATAAGATGTATGCACCTCAGATTGACAATGTATAACTTTTCATATTGTCACAGAATATCTTATTTTGCAATTATTATTGTTTAAACATTTTTACCAAGCCAAGAGATTCAATCAGTTTTCATTATTTTTCTCTTTCAGCTTCAGCCCCACTACCCCAAGATGGAGAAGTAATTTACAAGGACTGGGTGTTCATAAACTACACTTTCAAGCGTTTCGAGGGATTAACACAACGAGGCACACCAACGAAAAAATAGCAATGCGATCATTCCTGTTCGACATTGAATCGTGAAAGTGATATTATAGCTCTGCCCGTTCAGGTGCACCACCAAACATTGACTTTCGTGGCCAGGAGTCTGCCCAAGATTGAATAAATGAGAGAAAAAAATCGATTATGTATTGTTCTTGTTTTTACAACAGAAGAAAGATACACATTCTTGCAAATAGGATAGGAATCAATAAAGCGCCTGAATTCAAAAAGGTCAATGATAATCTAGTTGTTGTGTCACTGAAGGATTTACAACAAATTTTCCAGCTCTCTGTCTCTCTTTCTGCTTTTCTCTCTTGCATTCTCAGACTTCATCCTCCTCCCGCCCCCTTTTTTCCTCTCTCTTATAATAGTGTTTCATTGAAATGAAGAAACAATTTAGTGAAGAATTGGAGCATGAATTAATAATTATTATCAAAGATGCGTGCTGTGATAGAACGATTTTTTTTGTTATTCAAAGTGGCAGGAAATTTTACAGATCCAAAATGTTTGCGATTTGAATCGACGAAGTTATTCTCTAAGGTGATTCGGATTATAGTAAGGCTCTTACGCAGATGTTTATCAGCAGGCCGTGAAATCACTCTTTGTGTATGATATGATAAAATAGTTCACTTTTTCGCACGTTTTTGACGGCCTAGAATATTTCGTACGTCATGCGTAAAATTTATAAGTCGTAGGGGAATACTTAATGTGAATATATATGTCACCCTTAAATTTTCAATATTCTCCGCACAAATGGAAAGCCTTGTTCCCTACCAAACACGACAAAGTTAAGTCTGGTAAATATTGTAAAATGGACCATTTCGGTATGGTTTTATCTGTGGGAAACATTAGTTGTGGCGGCTTCCATGTGTATTAGTTATGCATGGAAAATTCTACCAAAAAGTGATTTTTTTGCCAGAATTGACAAAAAACAGTATGTGTTACACGCGCGTGCGGAAATGTCTGACGTTATGTACTAATAATACAATGTATTACTTCGTCAGAAGGTGTGGAAAGTTTTTTCGACCTAGTAACGAATCTAATTTTTTTTTATGCTTTCAATAGAATGGCGTTTAACACGCATGGAGTATCCTGAAAATGTCATTTTGTAGACGGTAAAAAGGAAATAATAAATCATGACGATGTCCGTTATTCAACAGTTCCTGAATTTTGATGAAAAGGTGATAGAATAATGACATATTTTATAGAAAATGGCTTCAAAATAAATTTGTTTACAATACCTGTAATTCCCCTGGATATGCACGCCATCCACTTGTAATTCGACAGTTACAGAACTGGCTGCACCAGCGACAATTACCTTAAATAATTATTACACCTTCGTGCAACCGGTCCATAATTTTCAAAAATAAATTACTGGGAATAATCAATGATTTCATGATTCATGCATTCGTGACATTAAAAATAAGTCTCTTATGGGAAACAAATGAATAAAAATTATGTGGATGGCGAATGTATAGAAAAAAATATATTATTAAATAAACAAAAAAATAAAAAAATGAATTGAAAACAGTAAATATTCGACCATCCTGATCGTTCCATTTCAACAAGTTTGTCCATGGTTTGCATTACTCACTTACTGAATTCAATAACTTGGACGACCTTTACCTGAGTTCTCATCAAAATGACCAACTGCTCTACATACATGGTAGTATTTAGATTGAATTCAGGGTTGCCTCTTTGAGCATTGAACTAGGGCCATTGCACTCGGGTCTTTGTGGGCTAGGCTATATCCTTTGATTAGATTAGATTTTTAGTATGCGGATGGTCGGACTAGCCTCTCCAATGCCACCGAACTCAGATTAGAGTTATTGTAGCTCCGCTTGTTATATGCTGGGATTATAGGTCCAGCCCAGCCCTGTTGCCAGTCTTAACAGATCCGTCGCATCCTTGTTTGCGACTTTATTTGCGGTGTGGAAGGCAGTTCTCCACCAGTGCTGTCTTGTCGTTGCTAGAGTTGGACAGTCACATAGGATAAATCCCTGAAAAAACATTCCCGGAAAAAATATCCCGGAAAAAAAATCGCGGAAAAAATAGCCCCGGAAAAAATATCCCCGGAAAAAATATTCTTGAAGAAAATATCTCCGGAAAAATTATCCCCAAGAAAAATTCTAATATTTAATTCCTAATAATAAATATTTAAAGATTCTAATTTTAATAATTTACAAAATGTATTTTAGAAAAAAATTTCTTTATTTATTATAACATATAAAAGGGTTAAGGGTTCGATTCCCCATGAAATTAAAATCATCTTTTTTTTTTCTCCAATTTTCATTTAATGTGTTATGTGGGGAGTGGGAGAGGGCTTCGCCCCCCCCCCCCCCCCACCGGGGCTTCGCCCCTCGACCCCGCAGGGGCTGTGAAAACGCAAGGGCAATGAAATGTATGATTGGAAGGATATTTTTTCCGGGGATATTTTTTTCTGGGATATTTTTTCCGGGGATATTTCTTCCGGGGATATTTTTTCCGGGATTTTTTTTCCCGGATATTTTTTCCGCCACCCACATAGGATGTGTAGACTGTCCTCTTTTACTTCATTACAGAATCTGCACCACCCATCCGAGTTCATGCCGATGACTCTGCAATATTCTTTAAATCTACCATGTCCTGTGAGCAGCCTGATCGCAGTGGCCCGACTTTTCCTGTCCATGGCCACTAGGTCTTTGGACCTTTTCTTGCTGGGGCCAGGCATGATTGCCCTGGCCTTCTTGCAGGTCTTTGTGTCCTTCCACCGCTCCGATTGTTCACGTTGGAACTTTTGCTTTTGTGGCCTACAACCACGGCATGAGGGACGCCCACTGGCGAAGAGTCGTTCGCATTTGTTGCCCTCTGCTTCGGCAGCCCATCTGCCGTTTCGTTGCCGCGGACGTCCTCGTGTTCCTGGGACCCAGGCAAGGGTCACCTTGGTGCTGGTCCCCAGTTTTTCCAGGCTTTCCATGGTTTCCCAGACCAACTTAGGGTCAGCACTGGACTTGAATAGACCTGTTATAGCGGCTCGACTATCTGTCCCCACAAAAATGTATTTGTTGACTGTCATCCGGTACACCAGAAGCTCGGAGCACTTTTTGATTGCCAAAACTTCCGCTTGGAATATGACCACCGCAGTCTCTAACGACCAGTTGCACCTGTAGTTTTCCTCTGGTCCGTACAGTCCTGCTCCAAATCAGCCTCTGTATCCTGAGCCATCTGTCTACCAGTGGATGACATTGGTACCTGTTTTCTTTATAGTTTCCCAGTTCTTCCTCTTAGGGATGTAGGTTTTAAAGGCCTTCCTGGTTTTGTACTTCCTGGTCATTCTATCTTGATTCATGTTTCAGCGATATTTTTGAAGATGTCAAGCTTGGCCTGTGCCGCTTCCGCTTGCATCCATTCCCCCTGGCACAGGAGTCTATAAGCCAGAGGTGGGCAACCTCAGCTCTCGGAGCTACTTCAGCTCCCGACCTCAATTAGGCTAAATTGTCTCAAGTCATAAAATTTATGGCTGCGCCCCCCTTCGGGCCCGTGATGCCCTGCGTGTAGGCAAGAGTAGAGGGGATATTCGGCATAAACTTGGTGGTGGGAAAAGTAAAATAAGAAAATTT